CTCTGACCGGTCTGCTGTTTCTCTGGCTACCTAAATACTTTGAGGTCATCCCGCCTCTCTCTTCTTTGACCGAGAAGACGCTGGGTTTCGTACAGGGTAATAGTATTCAACTTAGAGACAAGAATAACACAGACTCTCACGTATTCTGCTGAAGAGCCTAACAAAAATCATTGTAAACATCCATTGAATTTTCATATACTGCTAGGCAGTAACTGTCAAGATACACTGTGAAAAACAGCAAAAGTGTCTACAATTTATCTAGGACGGAGGTGGCAAAAAACATGTACATGTATGTGTTTATATTGTTAAAGCAAACCCTTGGAAGAATAAGCCAAAAACTAAAGCAAACAAAATTCCTTAAATAGGTAAGAGAAGAAGCAGGGTGGAGAAGACAGAAGGTGAACTTCTCAGAACATACTTCCGTAGATCTGATTTTGCTAAATATTTTACATGATTTTGAAACAAAACTAAATTTTTTAAATTCCCCCCAAATTTGAAAATAAAGTGGAACAAATGTTCCTAGCAGAGTAGTCACTGGCTGGTACAGCCGTCTAGAAAGGAATGATTTCGGCTCACTTGAAAACCACCCTCAGCCCGTACATCCCTTGAGGGAAATACCCAGCAACAAAAACACCTGTAAAACCACCTCCCCACCACCGCCACCTCAACTCAGCTCCGTGCTCAGGAGTCACACTGTAGGTGATGGCGCTCGTACGGTTATTCGTGGACAGTTATGTGAGTAGCACAGGACACAGCCCGTGAGTACTTACACAAGGTGACGAGGACCTGGGATTTTCAGTGTGGAAGAAAAGAAGTTACACATGTTAAAGGTGGGTGACAGGTATGTGAGATGTATTATGCTTGAAATTTGCTACAGTACAAATTTTCCATAACTGAGTTAAAACAAAACAACTCCTCGATCCCAGTCTTTGATGACGGCTCTTGGGTAATTTTTCGTATTATCAGGTGGTCACGAATCTGGTGCAGTAGGTGCTGTTTCCCCACGGGTTTTCTTCAGGTGGCATGACTGGATGGCATGGCAATTTTCTGAGGAAACTTCAACTGTGTAAAATGATCATCGCACTGAACAGGATATGTTATGACACACTTGGGCTCTATGAGGGAGTGTGGCAAAAATATCACCGCTCTTCAACACCTTAAAACTTGTGCTTTTTCTCAGGGTTCCCATGCCTCTGGCCCTTGCCCCTAAGTATCCCCTCCCCACAGGGAGGTGACGTTTGCATGTCCCCACAATCATGTCTACAACCCACTTCAGGAGAATTATTAATACACAGATGAGACAGTCTTCACCATCCAGGGGGATGCAGTCCCACACTTTCTGAAGTTCGAAGTGTGGAAATTTGGCCTTATTACATTACAATATTAAAACTGCTTTTAAAAATAGCAAACACTCTTTCCCACTTGAGAATCATTTTCTTAAAAGAGTGGTTTTCAAACTTGAGCAGCACCAGTATTACCCAGAGAGCTTATTAAGAAAACAGGTTACTGGGCCTTGCTCTCAGAGTTTCCGTTCAGGTCCAGCTTGAAGCCTGAGAATTCGTCTTTTTAACAAGTTCCCAGATTTGCCGATGATGCAAGTCTGGAGACCACACATGAGAATTATTATCCAAGAACATCTATGAAAACGTATGTGTCCCTTGCTTCCTCCTAAGAACAAAGGCCCCTGATACTTTCCATATAAAAGTTCATGATCTCCCCTTTCTTTGATTTATATCTGTCCTTTGAATTCCATGATGCTTTCCCCTGTTTAATTATTATATAACCTTTTTTTGAAATTAATTATCCTTAAAATGATACTTACTCAGAAATGTTCCCCATTAGCTTATAGGTAGCTGTTTGCTTCCATATTCCTTAAAAATATTCAGACCAATTTTGCTTCTTTCCTATCACCCTCTCTTTCTAATTCTCTATTCCTTTAACCATACTGAAAGGAAAGATGGGAATAATCATGAAAGATGTTACCATACGCTGTTTCCTAGCACATAATTTCGTAGAGGATAGTAACCTTTGACTTTATTATTGCTCGCCTTTTCTATCCTGTTGTGGGCACTCACTTATAACCTGAAAATAACAAGGCCTGATGTTTATTAATATTTATAGAATTCAACACCCTGCCACAGGGTAGGCAGTCAATCCATTTTTGTCAAACAGAATATTTCAATCACAGAATCCCAGAGACAACTGAGGTCCAGGGAACCTAAGTGATACACAAAGGGTCACAAAGTCTGTTACCACAAATGCCAGAATGCTATAATCTGGATCCCACGACGCCCTCCTAGGTTGCGCTCCTTCCCCCAGTCTGTTCTACCTCTCACTACTTTTATCAGAAGACACCAACAGGACCTAAAGGGGGACAAAATAACTCTCAAGGAGCATCGGGCTAAATACTTAGAGAATAATCATAAAATTCTCAATGAGGATAAATGCATTTACTTTGGCCAATAATTTAACACAATATTTTGCTTTAGATGATTTGACCTTTTCAGATGCCTTTACAAAGTGTACAGGGGAGGTCACCGTTCTAGACAAACTAAGGAAAAACCTACAACATGCAGAAACACATTCCGATGGGATGGGTCCTCTGGTCCTAAACAGACGATCGTATATAGAAATCCACTCCCCTCGCTTACCCTTAGACAGCGTGTACTGCATGATGAGGGCTAAAACAACGAAACATAACAACAATGATTAGTACCAGGTCATCTTCAGGGTTTGCTCTTTCTAGATGCAACTAGATTTATGGGAAAGGGGAAACGACCCTTTGGCAGCTGGTCGCTATGTCCCAGGAACAGTATTAGGTGGCTTACAGACACTACCAAAGGGACTCCTTTCAATGACCCTATGAGCGAGACGTTAGTCTTCCCATTAAAATGAAGACCAAATGAAGACTGGCAGTTGCATGGTTAGGGGAAACTGGCAAGTCCAGATGCAAACTCAGGTCTGTCGGACCCCAAGGTCATGGTTCATCCACAGAGGAAGCAGGCTGGTTCTGTCATTCAAGAGTTCCAGAACCTTTACCGGTGCTCAAAGAGCTTAACGAGTCTGAGATGTGATTACAACCTCTACCCACTTCTCTACTCTATAAAAGTGGGACAAGCTGTTCTCCTCCTGCTTAATTTATTTTGGCTTGTGTCATCAGCAAAAACATTTCTAACATCAGGACACATTGACTGAAGAAGGCTTTTTGACCCTGAGCCTGGCGTATCTTTAAAAGCTGACAAGTAATGAAGTGTAAGGCCACGCTCAGTACTAACATACAGGAAGTCACAAACGGTGATGGAAGCCTGGCCTGATTGTCCCTCGAAAGTCCTAACCCTTTGGCTTTGTGCGTGTGGCCCTGCCCCTTCCTAGAAACCGAGGAGGGCCAACACACAAGTGACTTTTCCTCATCTCACCCAGGATCTGGGATAGTCCCATGCAGAGATGGTCTGTTGGCAGAACAGATGACAACGTGTTTTCCAGGCTGGAGGGAGGGAGGAAGGGGGACGGGAGGAGGCTGCCCCCCCAGAATTTAAACAGTGCTGCCCTTGTAGCAGGTAACACGACAGTCAAGGAACTAACAAAAGGGTATTGCTTTTCTTTGTTGAGGATAATGTTTCAAAACGTTATCCTCTTCAACAGACCTACATCGAAGGAATTAAACAATCATTTGCCCACCACTGCCGTTTGCTGTGAAGTCCTTTTCACTGTGGCTATTTCAAGTCAACCTTGTAATACATACTCTGTAGAAAAACAAACAAACAACAACAACAAAAAGCCCACTTCCTTTAAAAATCTCTCAAGGATTAGCTAACACATCAGAAGCCAAATCTTTAAGCAAGAGAATTTAAATTCTGGATTCTAGTGTTCCTTCCTGGTCATCCATCCCAAATCCCTAGGACTTTTTTTTTTGAAGCAACAGCAACCGTTAATGGCTATGCTTATCAAGTACTAGCGCTCACTCCTGGCTGAGCGGGACGACACACAGTTGGCAGGGCCTGGGCGAAGGCAAGCCTGCGTCACTCCATTTATCAGTCCGAAGGCCGTGCACGCTGATTCTTCACGTGTACCCGTCAGGCTCACGGGAGGCGTCACTCATGTTTGGACACCAGAGTCCATCACCACAGTGAGTGAGAACACAGATAACAGCACCCTCTTTGTTGCTACGCTCGATGCTTAATTAGCATGCCCTGGCAGTTTATTTTGAGGGGAAAGATAATACACACATTCAAACAATTGTGGAACTCGATGGCCAGATAAATATCGCTTCTCATTTTTCCGTACGCAAAGTCACGGCTGCACACTTTTTTGTGGAGTGCTTAACAATTGTGTTGGAGAAAGGACATCAAATGATGCTTAGAAATGTGATACACATTTTCATTTCACACCCCATCAGCTTTTACAACTGTAGCTCAATGAAATGTAAGAGGGAGACTGGCAAACAGCCAGATTTGCACCAAGGTATAAAAGAGGGGTCAGGTTACTTTTTTATAGAAAGGAGAAAAAATTGTTTAATTTTCACTCCACATGACTAAAGCAGATATTCAACAAACAGCCTGGAGAGAGGCACTCACACCACACACACCGACACGCTTTAGTGCCTGTTTAACTGCAGGCTCTTACTGTATTATCAACAGCTTCGTAAAGCAAGAAAACCTTCCTCTCCTCACCCCCTTCCACTCAGGATCTCCTGACACAGAAATGCCCTGGATCAGATGATCTGCGTTCCATCTTCCACCTGAAAATAATGCCTTTTGCCCTCCACGGCTGGCCTAGAAGTAGGAAGGGCTCATTCCCTCTCCAGGAGGAGCAGCAAAGCTAAAGGCATCAGCAAAACCGCATCTTTCTAATTCAGAGTTCGGTCTATCAGGAAGGATTAAAGCCTCATGCATACATAAAGAGGGAACTAGAAATGATAACAGAAACACAGTCTGGAATCTCTGTGCTTCTGCAGTCGCTGTTTTACCGGCAAGGTAGAGAGAAAAGCGTCTTTTACTCACCTCTGTTAAACCTGAGACTTCTCCCTTTGCTAATGGTTTGCTGATGGATGGCGTGTATACTTTGGCGTCTGTTACTGGCTGCCCTTTCATGAAGTGTTTGCCTGATTCGTAAATGTCCACTTCGATCATTTTCCCCATGAATGTGGGGTTCTTTGGCACTAAGACCTTTAAAGAAAAATTCAGAAGTCTTAATTTTAACAAAATAAACTTGCCATTTTAGAGCACTGTTTTAGATTTATAGGATGACTGCAAAGGAAGCAGAGGAGTCCCGGATACCTCAGACCCCTATTTTCCTATTACGAACATCCTACCACGAGTACGGTACGTTTGTCACAATGAATGAACCCACACTGATGTATGACTATCCACCGCAGTCCATCCTTTATTCGGATATCCCTGGTTGCCTCCTCGCATCTTCTCTCTGTCCTGAGATCCTATACCGAGTAGGCTCCATCTTCCAGCTGCTCAAGGATCTGGAGATCCTGTAGGCAAGGAAGGCGTGTGTGGGAGGAGCCACGGGCTGGAGACAATGCTCCTTCCTCGGGATGCCTGCTGTCCTCAGGCATGTGGCAGGCAGACCCGGGAGAGCCCCCAGCAATCAAGCCAGTCGCTTTTGGACAGGCCTTTGATATGCTGCTCTCGGCTGTCCCATGCAATGAGGAAAACTGAGACAACACTGATGAAAGCCTTGTACTTTCCATACCTGCCAAGTCAGCTGTCAGAGTCATGGTGTAAATAGACACTTCAGATAAAGGCCCGCATGTTCGTGTGTGCGTGAGCACGTGTGTGTGTGTGTGTGTGTGTGTGAGAGAGAGACAGAGAGAGAGAGCGCATGGGTGTGTGATTTGGGGGGCAGGGAGTGGAAGAACATTTAAAAGCCCCTTTTTAATGGCCCAAATGTTGGCGTTGGGGCTAAATGACTCCTCTGACTAACAGCCCCCATTCCCGTCTCTCACTCTGTCCTGGGACGGGCACGTTGTTTCCTTCTACCTCCCCAGACGATCGGCAGCTCTGAAGGCTCCTTTGGCTAGTTCACAGGGAACTGTCAGACGCTCTCTCTCCGCTCGAGATTTCTAACAGAAGCACTTGTTTACCTCGAGCAAACGTTCCCCTCCTTGGGGACCCGGAGGAGGTTTGCACGCGGCGTGTCTCCCTCACGTTTCTGTGTCGGGACCTCAGCCGCTTGCCAGGCTTGTCAAGTCAGGATCCAAAACAAACAGACTCATTCCACCCTAGTAATACTGTCATTTCTAGATACCATCTCCACTTCTGGAGCTCATCTTATTTAGAAAAATCATTCCTCTGACATCTTTGATACGCTTCGCTGTAGAGACAGACAAGCTGGAGGCGAGCCAGGGTTCCACGGCCGACTTCTCTGGGAGGCGAAGCGGGATCTGGGTCTTTCTGGGTTTGATTCTTTTTATGACCACTGAGTCCACGGCCTCATCAAAGGAGAGGAAAAAGGTCACCTGGGCCTTGAATCACTCACAGCAAGCACATGAACTCAAAGAGCTTTAGTATCAGAATATGAAAGCCCCTTTAAATCGGTTTTTATAAAACAAGAAAATCTCTAGAGTAAACTGTCCCTGGGAGATGTGGTACCATTCTGGGGAGAAATAACTCTCCTTGATCTGCTGCCTTGATCTGAATGAAGGGCTCAGTGTTATTTTCCCCCTCCAGTTGTAATAATTGGAAAAAGCCCGGCTGCTTTAAATTGGAGGAAACAGCTAATGAGGCATGCCATTGCCTTTAAAATGAAGGGGAAAAAAGTTTCCTGCTGAGGCAGAAACCCAGATGGCAGAGAAAAGAGAGGGAAGAGGCGACCAAAATACAATCGAGTTCCTCCCCAGGGCCGAGCAGGTTGGCCTGAATAGGAAAATGGCTCTTGGGAGCCAACTAATGAGATGGAAAATGGGGAAGAAACTCGGCTCCGGCATCGAGTGCTGGGAACCCTTCCTCCGCTGTCGTTTCTGCCGGGTATGGAACAGGGCACGTCTAGTCTGGGCCTGGAAAAGTTCCTCCCACGTTTCCTGAGGACTCAGGGCCCAGTTTGGGGTTACTCCCTGGGAAGCATCAGCATGGGAGGTCTCTCCGACTACGGCTTCCCTGCTTTCTGACAAGGGCAGGGGTTTCCCTTGCCCCCCTCCCGCTCACCCACCCTAGCCTGAAGATGCTTCCCACACTCTAATTTCAGCCACGACCCACAGGGGGAAAAAAAATTCACTTCTTATTTAACGAGAAAGGAACAAAAAGTAGGAAAACACATTTGGTATTAAGAAAAGTTAATAGTCGGACGCCTGGGTGGCTCAGTCGGTTAAGTGTCTGCTTTTGGCTCAGGTCATGGTCCCAGGGCTCTGGGATCAAGTTCTCCCAATGGGCTCCTGGCTTGGCGGGGAGTGTGTTTCTCTCTCTCCTTCTGCTCCTCCCCCTGCTGGTGCTCTCTCTCAAATAAATAAAATCTCAAACCAAACCAAACCAAACAAAAAACCATTAACAGAGTCCAGGAGTGACCCACGAAATCCCTGTGCCCACGGAGAGTCTCCTGTCGAGTTGGGGAGAGCCCCCCTCTTCCTGGGCCTTTTCCAGGGCCACGGCCCCTGAAGGAGGCACTCTGTATTCTTCAGTCCCTTCTGAACAGCTCCCCGTCTTGGGGGAGTGGAATCCCAAATGTTGAGAGAGAAGCTGGGCGGGCCGGCAGTGCGGCGAGCCGGGCCAGTTTACAAGGGAGGGCAAGGCCGATGGCTGGTGGGCAGGCTCGGCCCGTGAAGACGATGCTCACAGTGGAGCTGGTTTGATCCTCATGCTGGTCTCCAGAGCTGGCCACATGAGCTGAATCCACAGAATGGACTCTTTCCTCTTGGCCCCCAGCATTCTCACCAAGGTGGAAGTTAAAAAAAAAAAAAAATCCTACAACTAAACAGAACTGAAAAAACAATCGACCAACTGACCACCTGAGTGAGAGCCAGGGTCCCGGGAGGAAATCCCTGCCCTTCCCCGCCGAAGTGGCAGACATCCTTCCTGTTTCCTGGACAGAACTTTCCCCTCTCCTCTGCCAGACTGTGGGAATTCCGGCAGCGAGGACTACCCGTTCTCGCCTCCTAAAGCCCACGGCTGGTCCGGCAAAGACGACTGAAGACGAAAACACACTTACTCCTTTGCAGAGGCATACTGTGGACTAAACCACAGAGATAAGGCCCCTGTTCATCTAGCCGACCCGATGCTCTAAAATGCCCTTGCTGTGACAGGACTCTACAACCCTCCCCTCCTTTCGGTTCCTTTCGCTTAAGGTGATTTGCTTCACAGCCCCCTCTCTCACTCCGGAGAAAGCATCATGCCTCCGAAGTGTCGCTCACCTGCTCGTAGAATCGATTGTGGGCAACGTAAAACTTGGAATCAAAAGACTCTTCGGTCACTAACACTTGTTGTCTTTCACCAATCTGTGGAGAGAAGGGGAGAGAAAAGGAAAGGTAAGGGCAAACACCTGAGAATCCAAAACAAAAGTGCCAGCCCAGACAGTCCTGGCCCAGGAAGCGATGTCCTCTCGGAGTTAAAGCGGATTCTGGATTGCTAGTTACTGAGCAGCTAATAGAAGAACCACGAATTCAAATTTCCTGAAAGACGCTATTATCTATGCACTAATATAAAATGAGCCTAGCATGAAATCTTACTTTCTTACATAACTATGAAACAAAACTTAGCTTCCTCCTTCAACATAAGTAAGATAATTAAGGCCTCTAACACACACACAAATCTTCTAAGTATCACTTGGTTTCTCCAAGCAACGTTGCAAAACAAGCCATAACAAGCTGCTTCTAATCCAAATTCATGAAAATATTTTGGCAATGGGGAAGAGTAGTAATAAACATTAATTTGAGTTATGAGGGATGTAACACTAAAGAAAATGCCTCAAAAACTAGTCATTAAGTCCCTGCATCTAAACATTTCACACATTGCATATAACTCTTCAATTACTGATTAATTCCTACGGCTATTCCCTTATTAAATACGTTTATTCTCTCATAAGCAACCATCTCTTCTTTGTTGCAGCCACGACCCCATGTTCATGTTTTATTTTTTATTTCTTTTAGGAAGAAAGATAGCAAAGATATGGGACTGTTAATTCTCTACAGGATTGATCTACATTTACGGTCTAAGCACACATCTTTAATAACCAAGAAGTTAAATCAACCAAAACATTGGTTGAAAAATGTGGCCAGTCGAAAACATTCTACCACTTCCAAGTTTCGTCCACTGTGAAGTACAACATTTAAAGCACCAATTACTTCTTTCTAACAAGGTTGTCAAAATGTCTGATGAGGTAGCAACTAGCTGCACGGAATGATTGTGCCTAGAATTATTTTTGCCTTCGCTGCCTGATAAACACAACTCTCTGTATCAAAGCACATGGACAGTAAGATTTCAAAAAAGCCATCCCTAGGGGCACCTGGGTGGCTCAGTGGGTTAAGCCTCTGCCTTCGGCTCGGGTCATGATCTCAGGGTCCTGGGATCGAGCCCCACCTTGGGCTCTCTGCTCGGCGGGGAGCCTGCTTCCTCCTCTCTCTCTGCCTGCCTCTCTGCCTGCTTGTGATCTCTGTCTGTCAAATAAATAAATAAAATCTTAAAAAAAAAAAAAAAAGCTGTCCCTATTCTCATATGTAAGGACTTGTTACCGCAGTCGGGCAGTTAGGGTTTAGGAAACGTAAACACAGCTGCACTAAAGAGACCACCTAACAATTAAATACAAAACACCAAACTCTCCTCTCCATCATACGATGCCAAAACCTAAAACACACCATAATTTACTATCTTTTTTTACTATCTTGTTCAAAATGTAGCCCCCTTAGCCAAAGGTCGTAAGGTCTCTAGGAGGATACTTACCAGGCACTTCCTTCACTCCCTGAAAACTAATGAACTTTCCTGCCACATTCACCCCTTTTGAAAATCGAGTGGCAACCAAAGAACATCTCCCCAACTTCTCCATTGAATGGGAATGGCTGTTTATTTAACAAGACTGATGAATATTGGTTTTTACTGAAGTATATTCTTCTGGAGGAAAACTTAGCATGTTTGTACACATTTCACAGTGTGAGTTGCTTATGACTTAGGCTAAGTATCTGTCAATGGTTCTTAAGGAAATCTGCAATTACACTTCATCTCACATTAAGTTTTCGGGAAACGAATCTAGCAACAATATGAGATTGTTGAGCCCCTGAGACGGTTGCTGCTGCTTCCGTCTTGTTTGAATGAAGGTGGGCAGCTGTAGTCCGCAATGCTGGGCTGTCCTGGCTCACCTGAGTAACAGCCACATGAGCTCACACAGACCCAGAGTCGGGGAGACTTGCTACACGTGCACGGCAGAGGGCGGGGCTTCTGATCAACCACCAGAGAACTATTTACAGTTGAGTATTTAACTGTTATTTGCCACAAGGATGCAGGGAAATGGCTATGTGCGGTAATTTACGGTGGCAAACATCTTCCTGTCACCTCTTCTGTCCCCTTAGTCATGCATCCTGTCTCACCAGTGAGGCTCTTAAAGTTCCTCGAAAGACACAAAGCAAAAATGAGCATAAGGAAGCCAGGACTTGGATGAAAAGCTGCTGCAATCTATTCCAATCCCTTTAAAAAACTAACTAAAATGAATAATAAATGCCCTCCTCGATATATATGTATATATTTTTAAAGAATGAAGTTGCAATGAAGTGACTATCAGAAACAACCTTTAAGAGAATTAACTATTTCCTGTAACCTTAAAAACACCCATGACATTAAGGAGTGGGGGTGGAGGGGGTAGGTTTCAGGTGGAACTCGGGGGGAAAATTTTAAAAATGGACAAATTCCTAAGAATATGTCAGAGGTTGACAATGAAGTGTTTCATAAAGATTGTGACTGGTAGCACAAATTAGGATGCCAGTGGAATCACGAACCCAAAGAAAGGTCTAGAGCTGGTGTCAAGACAGCTGGAACGTTCAAGGACAGGAGGGAAGGGGATGCTTGGAGGGAGGAGGGACAGTTAAAGCAGGGGTGTGGCCTGCCCACAGAACCTGGCAGAGAGGAGTCTCAAGGAGGGTTACTTAAAAACACTAGCCACTACATGTTTGAAGCAGATGTTAGATGGGAGGACACAGGGTCTGAGTAGATTATTTTTAAGATAAAAGAGAGGTGAGTACATTTACTCATCGCAAAAAGGAGAAGTCAGGAAGTAGCAGGACATGGGAAAAGGAGAGTCGGGCTGAAGAGGAAGTGGGTTATAATATTTAAAACACCTCTCAGTTCCAAAGTTCTAGGTCCTCCTTTGTGGTAGATTGGTAGGATTGGGACAGGTACGCCCACAAGCTTCCCGATGCAGGAAATACGTACTCTGAATCCAGGCTCACTTTCCCTGAAGTCAATGTAAGCTTCAAGCACATAGCTATTTTCTTGCTGCACTTATAAGTAACATGATCTCGAATACCCATAAAGTCCTTCAAAAAGCTGTCGAGGGACCTGAACCCCAAGAAGCCCATCAAAATCTTCCCAACAAAGCCCTTGTTTTATAATCCTAGAAAGATAACCCTTTTGTTTCTGATTTGTTTTGCAGATGTATAATTTATAGTTGGTTAACTAAAATGCTCACTTAGCTTCCTCAACATTTTTGGGTGTAGGAACTTGGGATGGGAAGTTACGAATTTCAGGGGGAAACTGAGTTTCCTTTTGAGAAGTCTGACCTTGTGGAAGAAGTCAGGACTCCTGACAAGTGGCGGTCAGTCCTGCTCACACAAGGTAGGCTTACTTCATCATTTATTCCTCAAATGTCCGTGGAGAAAGCTATTTTTCTTAGGGCAAGGAGAACTTCAGTTGGTCTATTTTAATCTAGCTTTAAAAAGATGTTTCATGAAGGGCACCGGGGTGTCTCAGTCCGGTAGAGCACGCAACTCTTGATCTCAGGGTTGTGAGTTTGAGCCCTACGTTGGGCACAGAGCATACTTAAATAAATAAAACAATAACAAAAAAGGATGTTTTATGAAAAATGAATGATAAAAATGGTCTTGTAAAACCATTCTTCTTCCATGTCACAGACTGTGTCCCCAAAGTGAGGCAAAGTGTAGGAAAAAGGCCTCACGGGATCCTGCATTACTGGTGATCTCACAGAGCTGGATACGAAAGAATGCACCTGGTACAGTTTTCCAGGCCTTGTTGGAAAGATGTGACAAGGGGTCTTATGGTTAGTTATCTATTCATTTATCCATAAAGTCTGGAAATAAAGGCAGGAGTCCCATAAACGGACCAGGAAGTAAGCAGCTGAAGCGGGTTTGGCGATCTCAGGTTTCAAAGAGAGGAAAGTGAGGCCCGGCCAGATGTGGTGATTTGCTTTGGGGCATGGCAGAAGGAAGACGAGGAAGTCCTGGAGCCCCTCCCACTACCTGGGCCCTCCCACTTGAGTGCTCACTGGAGAAAACCTACACCATCGGAGATCTGATTCTGCAGTGCGTGACTTTTCCTTGAGCAGAGAAACATCTGCGACAAACAAAAAGGAATGTTTTTAAATTCAAGTTTTGGGCAGAATTTTCAGTACATTACATAATCAGCTAGCCGTGTTATTTGTGTCACATCTATGCTTAAAATTTCCCAAGTGCCCGGAAAGTTGTGAGAAACATCAGTTCTAACCATATGGCCAGATAACACACATAGAACAGCCTTGCGTTAACAAAGCAGTGGTTTCCGGCAGAATGTGGCTGCTGAATGAATGCTCATTCGAGTATACTCTGTTTCTCCATTTGTCCTCAGAAAGTTCCTACCTGACTAAGGACTGAAGAAAGACACTGAACGCAACTGCTCTCAGGCCGGCACACAATACAACCTTAACCAAAGACCGTAGAGTTGGTGGCCTTCACTTTTACGTCGGGAAGAAATGTTACTTGTGTAAGACTCCCTTGCGCTAGAAGAAGTAGAAGGTTTCTTTTAAACTTCCACAGATGACTTCAAATATTAACTTCACACAAAGTTTATTTTTTCTTTTTTAGTCCCTCCCTAGCCCTCCGCGTCCTCACTTCTGTCTTACTTAGAGAGGAAGCCTGGGATAAGGCTTTGGAAAAAAATTGGGAAAAAATTCCAATTCAATCTCTACTGGAGGGTTAGGTTTGAAAGATCTCGGTATTTCAGTGTTAACGGCTCAGTATCCAAAAAACATTCACAAAGGACAGATGCATATTTGAGTACTGGTATAAGAGAAATATTTCTTTCTTGCAACAGTTATAGGAAGGTAAAGAAATTATTTTGCTTCCCCTTAAGAGTTTCTAGAAATTAATTCTCTGTCCAATAGCCTTAGGGGAAAAAAGGAGATTAAAACACATATATCAAAAGCTCTCATAATTATTTATAACACATTCCTAATAAACTTGAATATTCGTTTATCCTACAAAATGTTCTGACACGCAATTTCCGCAGCTAAGTTGTTGAG